AAGCAAAGCAGCTTGTTGTTTGTTCTGTGCTCTTGCCCTCATGTTGCCCTGTTTGTATTTGCAGGAGATGAGTGTGGGCTACGCCAACGGGATCAGAGTGATGAGCATGACTCATACTGGAGAACCAGGTTTCATGCTCTACATCCCCATAGAGGTGCAAACGAGTTGTATTTAGACAACAGGACAGGGTGTTTGAGGAAATGCGCTCAATTTTCTGATCACTTTTGACCTCATTGACTCATTGAATTTAACAACTTTGATTCATTTTTAAAAGAAATGTGACTGCCCATATTTTGAATTATCCCTTGTGGTGTAAAATTTTATTTACTTGGTTATGGACAATGATGGTGTTCTTATGGAGAGTCTGTCTAATTAAGCTGAAGTCCAGGCCATGGACTGAGTATAAAAGCAACCTTAAATCAAAAATGGTGCACCAAATTTATGATTTTAAAAATGAAATAAATTTATTGTGTAACCAACCTTCATAGAATGGTTTGGAGGTCCTCCATTAAATCCTAACATGACACAATAGGTTAACATCAACTTCTGATTGCCACTGACCTGTCACATCTTCTCTGTGTGATGATTTATACCGGTAGGGATTTCAGGAAAAACACAGATTTCTGTGAAGTTTAACTCTGATGTCATCCATCCACTCCCTCCAGTACGCACTGCATGTGTACAACGAGGTGATGTCAGTGGGACAGAAGTACGGCATCCGTAACGCCGGGTACTACGCGCTGAGGAGCCTTCGCATCGAGAAGTTCTTTGCCTTCTGGGGTCAGGACCTCGACACGTTCACCACGCCGCTGGAGTGCGGACGGGAGTTCAGGGTCAAGTTCGACAAGGTCGGTCCGGCCGCTGGGGAAATGTGCTCTAACCGCACACCCACGGCATTTATATTGGAGCGTGAAGCTTCGTTTCAGTCAGTTTGCCATCTGCTTCGCTCTAAATGTTCTGACTGCAGCTGCAGAAACAACAGGTGACACTTTAAATCAACAAGTTTACTGTTGAGCTCAGAACCAGAACCTCTGGTGACTTGCAGCTGTTGTGGCGGTGCAGTATTGCTAAAACGGGCTGCATGGTTAATAATCCGTCCCAACACTCTGAGAGGGAACATGGCTCTGCAGGTGCCACAGCGTGGGCTCTGGCTGCCTTTTTGTATAGAACAATTATTTGTTTGTAAACACAAAGGACATACACACTTTGCCTTTAAACTGTCACTGGTTGGTATGGTTACTTTCCATTGTCTTGTTGTTTTAACATTAATAAACTCGTAATAAACTCATGCTGTGTTTATTACAGCATGAGAAAACAAGTTATTCTTCAGCATTAGTGAATGAGATACTAAATAAGGAGGAAAGGCGGATCTGAGCTCACTGCGATCTGTAAATAATTTAATAATTGCAAATAGTTTGAATAGTTACAATATATTCTGCAGGTGACACACACAGCGACAGTGAGTGTGTACGCAGCGTGACGTCCACTGATAATCCCTCCCTGTCTCTGTGCCTCTTCTCCACAGGACACTAACTTCCTGGGCTGCGAGGCGTTGCTGCAGCAGCGCCAGGAGGGCGTGTTCCGCCGCTTCGTCATGCTCGTCCTGGAGGACCACGACACAGAGCTGGACCTGTGGCCGTGGTGGGGCGAGCCCATCTACCGCAGCGGCCAGCTGGCTGGGACCACCACCAGCAGCGCCTACAGCTACACGCTGGAGCGCCACGTCTGCCTGGGCTTCGTGTCCCCACCGCCGGGCCCCGAGGGCCTCCCCACGCCCATCACCCCCGACTTCATTAACCGCGGCGACTACGAGGTGAACATCGCTGGACAGCGCTACCCGGCCAAGGCCAAGCTGTACCCCTTCAGCTCCCTCTTCACCCAGCAGAAGCGGCGCAAAGAGGACAGGGAGTTCAGCAACCTCTAGGGGAAGTGAGGTGGGACGCGCCACCCCAGACGACACTCCTTCAGTTCACCCCTCCTGACCCAACCCAGTGCCTGGTGTGAGGGCTGAACTTACAAGCACTTATTGTTAGTACTCTAAAAATCAGTTTTGGGTTTTCATCCTCTGCTTTTAAAGTGCAATATTTAGAAAAGCACCCAAGTCTTGACCTTTCATCTCGTTGAAATCCAGTTTTTCATCCCGCCGTGTCGTTCCGACCCTGACAGCCCTGACTGCTGTGCCGCTGCAGTCTGTGGTTACATGGCTTCATCAAGGCGATATCAACACTAGCTGCTGCAGAATTTACCAGTTTGTTGACTTTAACCCAGGGGTGTCCAAATGACGATTTAAAAAAAAAAAAGGTATGCAACCTTTATAAAACATTTTTTTTACATATTTGTTAAAATTCTCACCATGTCGTAACAGTATAACTTGAGACAGATAATCTGTGAAAAGATCTTTCCTCTTCACCTCCTGCCTGAAGAAATGCACTGCTCCTGGTCATCATCCTTGTGCACGTGCTGCTTAAAGTGGAGAAAAACAACTTGCCGTTTAAGGACAACAGTTTTTCCGCCGTCATCGGTGGCCATGCTAACTCGCATTAGCAACAGTGGCAAGAAGTGCTGCAGCTGTATCGAAGGGGGAGGAGGAAAGCGGCATACAGCTTTGATTGACAGCGCTAAGACCCTCCTCCTGGCTCTGATTGGGTGTTTCTAGTTAGCTATTCTGCCTTCTCCCAGTTTTAGTTTTTTTTTTTTTCTTCAGATTCTCACGCCATCACAACATGGTGACAGTTTGAACAAATATGTAAGAAAAGTATTTTCTTTTATAAAAGTTACATACTACAGCTTTAAGGAGAGAAACAAACGATCTTAACTCCATTTTTTACTTTCATCTTAATTTGATAGTACACAGCACCACAAGCATCCAGTAACTTTAGCTTGAATGTAGACTTGGGTGCATCCATTTATTAAACTAGGCTAAATAAGTATTTGTTTTGTTTGTTTTTGTTCAAAAGGGACACGTATCATGTTTTTGTAGCCTAGTATACATCTAAAATTATATACAGATACTTCCTGTGTTGAAATCAGGCTGGTACATTTCATTAAAAAACTGCATTGTTTTTTTTTTTTTTTGTTTGGTGTTTTTACACTAGAATTGTTTTTGCATTTTTCATAACAAACTGCATTATTTTAGTTGTGCTCCCCCCCATTGCAAAATGTTTGGACACTCCTGCTTTAACCCGTCCTGAAGGATTTTACTCTGGCACCCTTCTCCACTTCATGAGCTGTTAATACATTGTGAAGGAAACACAAGCTGATGTTGCACTTCTAAACACAAAGTTCTCAGCCGTAAATCTGCTGCTGACAAGGAGACCTATTTCAGAAATTTTCTACTCGCAGCCTTATAACAATTTGTCAGAAATCATCTTTCTGTAAAAGGGGAAAAGAAAAGCCTAGGATAATTACTGATAACCCAGAGTTGTTGTTTTTCGTCCACTGCACTTCATCCTGTTGCAAACACTTCCTGAAACTCCAAAGCAAATCAGAACAGCTTCTTCCGCTCTCTGTGCTGATATCTGCTGAGAACTGGTGTAGTGTCGTTTTCATGTATGCCGCATTTGTGGAAAAGATATTCATGTTTTTTTTTTGATCTCTTGAAAACGTTGACGCACTTTTGATGTTTTTGATTTAGATTTATTGAATGTGAGGCTGAGAGGAGAGCAAATCGGCCCTTCTTGTAGTCGTGCTGTTTTCAGTCCTCCATATCTAATTGTTTTGACATGTTTGTGTAAAGGAAAGAATTCATTGCAGTTTGAAATAAAAATGTATTTTTGTATAGTTGATGTGTATAGAAATCTTTTTTTATATTGGTTTTTGTATTTGAGTTGAGTTTGCATTGTCGCATAAAAAGTTTCTTGATCAGTTGCAGCCGCTCTTATTTTGAATCTTTAAATGTCTATCACATGTGAGATGTCAAAACTCAGAGGTAGTTTGAAAATGTAAAAAATTTAGAGGTGCAGCAAATGTGATTAGCAGTACCTGCTAACAAGTGATTGTGTCATTCAGGAGATGTTACTGTGGAATATGTTTTCCTCTTAGATATCAAGTCATGACTGTCATACTGCTGAGGTCTTCAGTCAGAGGTCTCTTCTGATTTGTCGCAAGACTGACTGCTACCAGAGATTCTTGCTGTTCACAGCATCACCATCTAAAACAACTCCATGAAGTCGAGTTATGACATTTCATCTCCCTTTTATGTATTTATTAGATGAATTGAATATTAGGATTATATAGATTGTCTTTATAGCCTGTAAGTTTATGGGGCTCTTACAGTGAAAGCAGAAGGCTGAATTTGTTTGAAATGTAACGGTGAATCTGTGCTGCTGCACATCCAACAGTTCATTTCAGTAGAAAGCTCATTAAAAAAAACATTTAACTAATTCCCACACGAGAACTTACAGAACATTCTTCTGTGGTGATAAAAGTTTATTGCAAAACCACCATAGTTTGGGAACCATGCTTCAGTGTACTTTAGGCATTTATCAGCCCCCCAAAAAGATCAGTCAGTACTAAACAATTCAGTGTGCTTGTATTTTGAAGTAAAATCAAATACAAGTCTAAAAGCTACCCTTTATTACTCTGAACCAGCTGAACTCATTCACATTGACCAGCAGGGGTGAACCGTTTGGTTCTGATGTGTTGACGGATACAAGGACCTTTGAATCAGGATAGAAGAAAAGACAGGAGTTACTTTTCTTTGAGTTGGTGAATGTTTGATAGTTCTGTGCCGACACATTCCACCAAAACTAGGTAAACTTCAATGGTTATACCAAAAGAAAAGAATCCTCTGAATGATTCTGCAAATGCAATATTTACACTACTTAGTTTGAAAGAAAGAGAAATAGGAGAGCACATTGCTTCTTTTCCACAGTGTGAAAACTAAAGCAAATGAAGCTCTCTGCAGTGAGACTTTATGCACAAGTCAACAGCAATTGCTTATTAACATCTGTTGTTTCCCTTCAAACACAATATGCAAAGTGAGCCCAGAGGCAGCAGAGTTGCATAACAAAACTCTTTATTAGCATAGTCCAAGTTAACAGCTTCCATACAAAGCGCTGCAGCATCGGGGCGTAATCAGATCCTTCTGGCTTTACGTGGGCGGCAACCGTTGTGTGGCACGGGGGTGTTGTCTGTGATCGATACCACCTGCAGGCCTCCCATCGTCAGGCCTTTGATTGCAGACTGCAAAACAGACAAGGACACTTTCAGTCACTAAGGAAACTGATCAAGACGTCTCTGGTTGATTTAATTATCCCCGTTAAGAAAGGCCCTGCGGTGGCTTTACATATCCTGAAGGCTCACTCTGTTTTTCCACTAGCAACATTGCTTCAAAAGTTATGGTTCACCACTGCCCTTCCAGATTCCAACACATTTGTGTTTTTTAATTTGCTTAAGGAAGAGCAAGCTGCTCAACACATCGGGCTTCTTTAAATCCCGATAGAATTATCCTCTCGACCCACATGAGGTCAGTTTAGTGTTTATACCCACTGAGCCCTTTCACATGTTTTGATTTTATAACCACATTCAAGTTTTAAGTACGCAAAGTAGTGCGTAATTGTGAAGTGGAAGGGATGGAAGAAAGTCACAATAAATCACATTTAAAGTTTAAAGACATGTGAAAAACAACTCCAGAGCCAAAGGCCAAGAACTTGTGAAGATGCTATTGGTAAGGCAGTGTATTTATCCAAAGAAATGTACCCTGTACCAACATGGACTGAAAGGCCACTCAGCAAGAAGGAAGCCATTACTCTAAAGAAAACATTAAAAAAAGCCAGATTGCTGCTTGCCATTGCACAAAGACCTTCATTTTTGGAGACATGTCCTGTGGTCTAATGAAACTTAGGTGAAACTGTTTGGCCATAACAACCACCATTACAATTTGGAGGAAAAAACAGGATGCTTGTACCAGGTGGTAGCATCAGATTTTGGGGCTGTTTTGCTACAAACAGCTGGTGCAACTCAGCTGTTGGAGGAAGTGGTGCGATTCATAAAATATATGGTCTCATGAGGAGAGAACATCTACAGACATCAGTCAGAAAGCTAAAAGTTTGGACATAAATTGGTTTTTCAAATGGACAGCGACCTGAAGCAAACGGTCACAGTGGCTACAAAGTGGCTTAAGAACAACAAAGTCAATATTTTGGTGTGGCCACCACAAAGCTCTGATCTCGGTCATGTAAAGAATTTGAGGGCAAATCTGAAAAGGGAGTGAGGCGGCTAAAAGAGAACCATCAAGAATCCCATCACAAACTCCAAAATACTTGCTGCTGTTATTCCAGTGAAAGAGGATTCCACTTCACAATTATACTCTGTGTAAAGTCTATCACTTAAAAATGCATTGGCGTCAACAAAATGTGAAAAAGTTAAATGGGTGTGGAAAAACTTTTTAAGAGTGCAGGAACTGCTCACCAGACGTCCAGGACCAAGACCTTTGACCACAACACGAACAAACGTAACTCCTTTTACTGTGGCTTTCTGTTTGGAAGAACAACAACAACAAAAATACAGATAAATATACTGTGTTTATATAGAGGACATATTAGTCTTCCAACAGGTCGACAGTACAAATCATACTGTACTCATTAACCAGGAGTGGTGAACCAGCAGAATCATGGGAGCCTTCACCAATACCAAAAACATTCTGCAGGTATAATCAGCTCCACTGGTCAGGGACCACAGATCTGACTGACAGAAATCGGAGGAGAAAGCTCACCGCGGCAGCAGAGATGCCTGCAGTCTGCGCGGCGATGGGCGTCGACTTCTTGCTGTTCTTGAAGCCTTCTGTGCCACAGGACGTCCGGACCAAAGACTGTCCTGTGCTGTCTGTAAGCTGGATGTGTGTGCTGGTGAAGGATGGAGAAGTTTACTCCGTGAACAGCTCTCTAAGTATTTATTTTTAACACTGTAATACAGACTTCTGACTGTATTTGGGCAGCCAGGTTAAGGAAAACATTGTGCTTCCTTCAGGAAAATACGTTAGAGGTAGGTTAATCCTCACCCCTGGAAAATTCAATGGACAAACAGCACGCGGGCGTTCCGCTGCAGGTTGAGGGCTTAACATAGTGGCCAGATGATAAATTAGATTGATGCTCACCAATAGCCAAAGATTCGCCTCAGTTTCAGATTAGTGAGACGGGAGTCAAATAGCAACACTGCAGGCGGCCATTGCCTTTGATTCCACAGGTGGTCAGCCCAATCTCTTTGATTTTGTAAAGTCACTAGATTACGTCTCTCCCATCTCATTTTAAAGAGACACAACTGTTTGTAATTGGAGTGTTTAGATTTGGCCTAAAAAATTCCAACCTAACCTGGCCTGAACCTGTAAGTGTTGTCTCTGATCCGACTAATTAACTTGAATTTTAAGCCTGGTAAACCCTACATATTACTTTAAGACTTTACTGAGGTTGTTTTTAAGACCTTCATTTCAGTAGGTCAGAAAAAATTCTGTTTTTAACTGAATTTAATTAGTAACTCCACTTACTTGTTGTATGTTGCTTTTATGTGAATAATTGGTAACTCTTCAAACTTCTTCCCAGCCCATCTCAGTGGACTGTCTTCACCAGGCATCGGGGGAAAATAGCTGAAAGATTGAAATTGGAATGAGCAAAGCATTACGGAGTTTTTCTTCTAAAAATCATTCAACATTGATAGACTGTAATGTTTTAGTCTAATTTATCTCAATAACACATCAGTAATCACAACTACTCAATTTGTTTACGTCTGCTTTGCAAAGCCAAGATGTCCAGCTGCTAAATATACTTTTTTTTTCCTTTTTGGGAACACAGCATAACAAGTGAGTAGACATCCTTCTTAATCAGCATTATGACCGACTGATGGATGACAGTGTGCAGACCTGAAGTCTTTCCCCGTGCTAGCTTCCGCCTCCTGATGTCTCATAGCGCTGAGGAACAACGGCCTCTGCTGCGGCAGCCTTCTGCTTCCACACCTGAACACACACCTTGTGATTAGCACACTCTGTAAGGCGCTGGTTCTGTTAGAAGTTGTACGGTTTTTGTGTCGCACAGTGCAAGTGAAGCTTCAAAACCTAGCAAACCCTTCCTTAGCGTTAGCCGTTAGCTAACAGGAACAGCTAACAGCAAACAGGAGCACTTACTGTGAGACGGTCCCGTTGACATTCAGCGGGGTGAGCAGCTGTCGGCATAAAGCGCTCGCTGAATTAAACGCACACCTGAAATTAAACATGGTTCATCTGTATACACACACGTTCAACGTTCCCGTCCGTACAAGCGTGACATTGAAGGTGAAGGACGACACCATTAATCGAGAATTAGGGAGGGGAGAGGGGATTAATAAAAACATCACTCTGTCAATATTTGCATTGCAGCTGAGCGTTGAATAACATTTTACTTTTTTCTACAACTGCATAAATGTTAACAATGAGGTTGTGTGGCATTTCATTCTTGTGTATTTTTGTTTTTACAAACGGAAGTCACTCCCCCCGCCTTGGGTCCAAACCATTTGTTCAGTGTTACGTACGCTCTCAACCAACACCACACACAAGCCCCGACTCCACTGTGAGGCCCAAACCTCTTCCGGTTGATGGATCCTTGTCTTTAATGTTAGGGGTAGGTGTCAAGTATGACAATTGACAATTAAAAATAAAAGCATAAATATGTATATATTTAGTTTTTCCTTTTCCTTAAAAGTCCGTTTTTGTGAAGAAATTTATACATTTTCTTTTGTGTTTTCCTTAAATATAAGCAAACTAACCGGCTGCTTAAAGACCTGGGGCTACTATGGAGCCCCCAGGTAGAACAGATTTTTTTTTTTTTTGTAATGATTTTTTGTTTTTATATTATATTAACAAAAACACAATTTCTTTATAAACTTGTGGTTTTTTTGTTACAATAATATATATCTGATCATGTATAAATCATTCATTCAATTCAAGAAATCATTCAATCAATTATTCATCATCATTCAAAAAGAAAAACAAAATTGCTTTTGGGCGCCCCCTTGTGACCGGTAAGATGAGCAGCCGTGCAATGTGCGGTGTTCGTCCAAACCTCCACAGCACCGGTGACAGAGAAGTAAGCAAAAGAATGTTGCAAAAAAAAAAAACAACTTGTCCTTCAGGGACAGAGAAAAGAAAGAGGAAGAATAGAAAAAAGCCAAGACAAAGGTATGGTTGCTTGTGTCTTAATAATGTACAAGTCTATCAATAAGATTTAATAGAAATATGTTTCTATCCAGTTCAAGCTAAACATTTATGCTAGCAAATTTGTGTTAAACTGATTTTTAACTCCAAATGAATTGATTCTCGTTGGCCCTAAGATTTTTTTGACTTCAGAACGACGTGTTTGGTAATATTTGACAACAGTAATTAGTTTCTGTATGCTTTGCAAAAGAAATACTTCTCTGTGGTGATCTCTCTGCCTCTAGCAAACAGAGGCTGGTAACGAAAAACCACTTCTTAAGCCGTAAATTAATGTTCAACCATATTCGTCTCCTTTTGAAGGTTGAACCAAGCAGACAAAAAAATGTTTCATTGCTGAAGGTTGTAACCTGCGCTGTTTGTATCTTAGAAGAAGAAAGAAGCCGTATCACATCCGTCAGCTTTATTCAAGTCATGATACAACTACTATGGTACAGCTAATTTACACCGGTCTATATGTACAACAGCAAATACAGTAACGGTATTGAGTCTCAGTAAATTTACAGACATGCCGATAACATCCAGAATCACACACACTCTCTCTCTCACACACACGCACACACAAACTCGCGCATAAATCAGTCATGCCGAGTACGTACAATGCTCCAAAAAAAAATCTTGACACACGTTGTCAGAAATGTAGCAAAGTTCTGCAAATCAGTTCTTCATCAGAGCATTGAAAGGAGAGCGTCATATGAAAACGTCTAGTCTTACAGTTTTGCATTGCTCTCTCCCTTTAGAAAAAGACAAAAAAAAGAAAAAGAAAACAGACAGTTCCTTACACTTTGTCATGGCAAGATGTGACAGATAAAGACCCTAATGCTACATGTTACAATACAGTTTAAAACACTACAATGGGGAACAAACAGGACACATCAGAGACACAGAACCTGGTCGAGTTGCATCCGGATCTTTCGGGAAACCCAAGGAGAGCTAGAATCGTTTTTAGAAAATGAGATCTACTTTTCAGAAATTGATTTTACCTAAAGAGAACAAACTGGGCAACACAAACTACAGACACCACGGGGTTGCTCCGAACAAACATTGGGTGAATGTTCAAGGTGTTTGGTTGTTTTTTTATTGATTTTTTTTTTTTTTTATCTTCAAAATTAGAGCAATATTGTTGTGGAGACTTAGCAGCGAGTCTCGTCGTTTTCAAGTTATCACTAAAAGTCCTCTCTCTTTCATCAAGAGGGAATGAAACCAAAGCACAACATGGTAACGTGATCTCTACACAACCATTCAAACACAGACACATTGTTTTAATCTTTTACACCAACCTCAGACAGAATGGGTGTGTGTGTGAACGGAGAGCGGGGGAGACAAAGACAGGACTGACATGATGTGACAGAAAAACGCTGGGCAGCCTGAGGAGCTTTCCCATAGCGGAGAGCAACCGCAGGTCAATGTAGGCCACCATACAAGTTTCTTTAACTATTTCAAAAACAAGTAACCACATAAATACAAATCGCACAGTTTGCCGTTTGTGTCTGGGGATCTGAAGCAGCAGAAAGTTTGGCTTTTCAAGAGAGGATTTTCTCCCGTGTCTCAGGCAGCTTCAGGGCCACCAGGCCTCCACAGACGAGGGCGGCGAAGGCCAGGAAGATGGGGATGATTTTTGTGATGCCGATGAAGGCTGCAAAGATGAAGCTGGCAACGATGGCTGCGAACTTACAGATCCCGTTCAGGATGCCGAACGCTGTCCCTCTGTGCAGTGAGAAAAAGTGCAGGTTTAAGCTCGACGGTTGGCTACAACGTGTCGAACAAGGATGCGATGCACAAAATGCATATTGTTGTGGAGCTTAGATGTGAATTAACTTTTTTTTGCAAATCAAAATTTGAACCGTAAAGTATGCAGGTAGCATTTAGCCCTCCTACATCAGCACCGCAATCAGCCAAATATTCAGTTTCAATTTTGCAATCTGATTTTTCTACATATTATTACTTTAAAATTGTACGAGTAGGGCACCCATAGTCAAAAACAAATGATGTGACATACAGTTAATCCACAGTATCCACAGTTGGAATATTTTTATAGTAATATGCTGCACTATATCTCTCTAGCAGCTTTGTACATCTGGAAACTGAAGGTCTGGACTTTGACTAGGTCATTCGAAAATATCACTAATTTTTAGTCTGATCCATTCCAATAAAATCGCTCAGTTTAATTTCGTGGTCCTTCTAGAAGACGGACATCTACCTGATAGTCAAATGCGTTGCAGCCTCTGACTGGTTTTCTTTCAGGATTGCCTTAGATTTAGCTCAGTTCATTTTTCCTCCTGGTCTGTCCAGTTTGTCGGCCTCTGCTAGAGAAAGACTTCTGCACAGTGTGATGCTGCCACCAGATACCAGTGTATTAGAGAGTTTGTGCAGTTTGTGAAAAGTGGAAGACACCAGATGGAGTGATTAATGCTTTAGATTTTCATTTGAGTCATTTCTCTTCCATTCTGTTGGTTTATTGCATAAAATCCAGATAAAATACATTTAATTTTGAAGTGGAAACGTCGCAAAATGTGAAGTTCTAGGGGCAAGGCTTTAGGAGTCCAAAGTCCACTAATAAACGCAAACGTCGACAATGAGATAGGAAAACCAATCTTTTAGACTTATTTGTGCTCACACATTCGTGCTTTTACTGAATGAAAAGCCTTTGAGGGTGCAACAGACGCCATTAACGTCTACATCATTATCTGGGATAATGAGTTTTGGCTGGAACAGCTGGAGAGCACACTGACAAGTTTCAGTCATTAGACTAATTTATGTTTTAAGAGGGTGAAACAGCGGAGGTTTTAGTTCTCCTCGTGGCTCCCTTAAATCTCTCAATTAGGACATAACATGGCTTGTGAAAGAAATGGGACTTTGCTCGGCACACACAGTGCCCTGCAAAAGTATTCATGCTCCATGAACTTTTGTCACCTCACCACTACAAACCTCCATGTTTTCTATTGCAAGTTTACGAGCCATACCAAAACAAAGTAGCAGATTACTGTGAAGTGAAAGTAAAGAGGTACATGCTTTTTATTTTATATTTTTTACCAATGAACATCTGAAGGGTGGGATGTGCTTTTGCACAGATGAGTGGTGACGTAAAGCTTAAACAAAATACCAATAACAAAATAACAATTTTATACAATACTGCCCCTTTAATTCCACGGTGTGATGCACTCCACTTCCACTTGTGACAAAATTCACCTTAAACAGGCATATGAAGGTCATTTTCTGTTGGATCTGTTAAAGAACCAGAAATGAACTATACCTTTTAGAAGAGGGGTAGAGCTCCACAGAAATGACTTCCAGCCCATTCCAGGCGGCCACACTGACAGCATAAAAGAGACACTGCCAACAGATTACTGCTCCTTGACTGAAGCTCAGGAGCAGCAGGAAAGTGCAGGCTGAGGATGCCAGCATAGAACCACCTGGGAGAAAAAAAGAGACAAATAATCACTGAGCTAATTGCTGCAAAATTCGACTTTTGTTCTGTTTCTTTAACCAATTTGCAGCCTTGGACACCATTGTATTGTCAATAAACACCCAGATCCAGACACTAAGGAGGACAGTTAATGGTCATCTGCTCTGATGTTCTGCTAAACATGTCACCTATTATTCGGATCCTTCCTATCTTGTCCATAAAAAGTGCCGAGATGATGTTGCCAGGCAGCACAGCCAAGCTTCCCAGGAAGCTGACCAGATAGATTACTATGTCGTTCTCCTCCTGGAAGTTTAGATGACAGCCTTTCTTTGGGTGGAGGAAGGTGGTGTTCTCCATTCGACAGTTTTTGAACTTTTCCTGCCACAGGTCTGGACAGAAAACACACACCGTTTGACACGAGACAAAAAACCCCAAAGGTATTACTTTGAGTAAAGATAACGCTACGTCAGGCTGTGGCAGCACCTGTGTTGTAGAAGACTGTGTCTTTGATTGTGCAGTTCTCAAAGAATGTGTTGGTCGACCTGATGTCCTCAAAGTAGCAGTTCTCAAAGAGCGAATCCTCAAACTTGACGGATTTAATCTCGATGTTTGCAAATCTTCAAAAAAAAAAAAAAAACAACAAAAAAACAGAGAGACAGAAATGGCAGAAAGCTGAACCTTAACTTTCCGGATCTCTGGGTTTATGAAGAACAGTGATAAACATACTTGTCATGGATGTACTCTCCCTCGCGGTGGACTTGGTTGACGAGGGAAAAATTAAAGTGGAATCGCTCCACGCGTTCCCGATGAAACACTCGGACCTTAGACTCGTACTCCTCGTACTGCATGTACTTTATCATGTCAGGGAACCACACTCCCAATCCATGGTAGCTATCACACACACAGAAAAGAAATGTCACACCTAAACACCTAAGTCATTTATGTACCTGAACTGAAAATCTCAGAAAGGCATGAACCTGTCATTGGTTTCTGGCATACCAGTGACAGGAAGAAATGTTCAGTTTAATCCAACAATGTAAATATTTAAATCAAAAGTTAAGGTTCAATTTTTTTAAAGTATTCCTCTTATCAGACTTTGAAGGGTTAAAAAAAATTACAGATTGTACATTTTTATTTTATATTTTTGTGTTGACACTATGAAGCCAGCCCTCAAGATGACCATGTGATGTGAATCTCAAACTGGTCCATGTTGTCTCCTAAGCTGTTATTCTACCTGAAAGCCATGCAGAACCACACGATGACCAGGAAAAGGCCCTGCAGCCTGAGCTCTGGAGCAGATAAAGACATCACATTGGCCATCACCTTCAGGAAAGAGACACAGAACATTAAGCCAGTCATCGAGTCATGCTTTTCATACAAGCAACGTTGTGTCGGGATAAAAACAACCGAAAGCAAAGCAAAAGTTTCTGTTTGACCTTTTCACATCTATTGAATTGTAAAACAGAGAGGTTTTGAAACCTGCTGCAGCATGGTCATTTTTCGAACCGTCCAGCGCTGAAAGGCGGTTCCAGTGTCACTCTGGATCTCTATGAATTCGTCCTCCTGGGTTTGTGGAGTTTTAATATTCGTCACCTGCAATAAAGAGACGCAGAATGTGTTTTTATTTCTCTCAATGATTGCTTTCGTTCTTAGACCTCCGACTAGGTGAATAAACCTGGAATGATTGGCGGGGAAGTGGGGGCGGGAGTTATTCCATCAGACCGTCAATTCCCGAAACAACACATGCAAAAAAAAAAACACTTGTAAAAGTGTATGTGGGGTCAGTGCCACCCACTGGACCCACACAGAGTAAAACCCTTGTGGGGTCTAAATGACCTTTTGTCTTAAGACCGCTGGAAGGTTACAAAAAAAAAAGTCATCATTCTATGTTACTGTTATGCACATGTTTGTGTTGGTCTAAGTAATTAAAATACATTTAAAACACAGAGAGAAGTTACCTAGGATGTAATGTGAGGTAATGTAAAAATATTCAAGGGTGCTTTTGCAAAGCACTATAACCCAATGGAAAGGAGTTATCAGTCTACACCATTCCACCGAAGAATGAGGCGCTTTATTAGTACTTTCTCTCAAGACCTGATGATAAAGATGTAACCGGCTTCTTCTTTCATTATCCTTTTAAATTAGTGGTGAAATGTGTTTGGCCAGCCATGCGTGTTGGTGTGAATGAAGGCTTACAGTGAAGACTCGCTCTGGCTCCCCCTTGGCCTTCCAGTTGGTGTCGTGAACCTGTCGCAAGATCATCCATGCCTCATCGTGCCTGGCGTTCTGGAATCCACAAACACATAGACTGAAAAATGCCTCTTTAGGTTTCAAGGTCGCTGGTGGAAACCACAAATTGTGTAGTGAATGTGTAGTTTAAATTCCACACACAGTCTACTAAGCATAATGTGGCTGCATGCTGATGACTCATCTGTGCAAGATGTGGATGCTTTACATATACCGCTAACCCCAAAGCTATTTAAAACCCAGGTAGACTTAGGTTTAAAGCAATCTTTTAGTTTTAGCATTATTTTATTTTTTGGACTGGAAATGATGTTAATGCTTTGGAGTGACACAGATAAAAGTACCGACCTGAATCTGTGAAGCAAAATGAGAAATTAAGGTAAAAGCAAGGAGGCCTCCCAATCTTAAAGATTTGTTGTCAACAAAGATAAGTCATCAAAATGCCAGTGGAAACATGCAAATAGTTGCTGAATGTTAGGCTCATATAAGCAGTTGCAGGTTATAAAACATTAAAATAGATTAAAATATAAAAATAGGCTAAAAAAAAAAACCCTGTTCAGAATAATTCACAAAATACATTTCAATGTAAAGAACAATATTATGGGATATTGCTGTGTTGATACAGATGTGGTAGTATAAGCTAATGTGCTAAGTTACCAGAAGCTACTAGTATGCTTCCATAGCAGTAGTTATTCCTGGTCATGTTAGGAAACGTTTAGCTAAATTTGTCAGGATATAGATATGTTAAATAATAATGGCATGTATATTCGTTTGTGCATGTTATGATATTAATAAGTTCTGGATATACTATAAGTCTTATACAGATTAAACTTTGGGTCAAGGTGTAATAGGACTGGCCACAGGTTTTCAAGGAGCCATTTTGGGTTTGTTGTGATATTGTGATATATATATGTATATCTGTATAAATCGTTTGCTGTTGTGATTCAGATACATATAATTGAATATTGTACAACAATTAAGTCGAATGTTGTCATTTTGGATTTGTTACGAGCTCACAGTAACACCAGATGTATTTGTTGGCTTTATTCAATATTGGGTGCTTTGGTGCCACGGCTCTAAATAGATGTGAAACAATTGATTAAACCAGATGTTGGTTGTTTAATATGTCATGGCAGAACAAACCCTGCAGCCAAGCGATGCAGCAGCTTTCTACATCCGCCTCTTTACTAATATTTTTCAGGGTTACCATTCCAACCCCAACTCCAGATGGAGAGGGACAAAACCAGCAATTTGAAGAATGGTTTGTTTGCTGTAATACTAACAAAGAATTGTGTGTTGATCACTGACAAGAGTATAAATGATCTGATCTCTGAGCCGATTAACTATCCATCTTGCCATGTGACACCGTGCTCCATCACAGCTGGAGAAAAGGCACTATTCATCACCAAATTGCTCAAACATTAATGGGCAGCGTTGCTCCTGGAGGAAGTTTTGAGCCCATTCTTTATTTACGGCAGTGTTTCTTGGTAAAATTGTGAGCCCACCCCAATGAAAAACAGCCAACCCTACAGATAAATGGTCTCAGAAGACCTTAGTTCTTGATAAGTGTTCACCTTTTCATCTAAGGATGCTCCTCGTTCCCGATACTCCCAAGCAGTTTAAAAAGGTTTTAATCAAAGAAAATGGGGTTATCCCACTCCTCTGTAGTCCAGTCCTGGTACTTCTTGCAGAAAACAAGTGTATCCTTGATGTTTTTGAGAGAAGTGCCTCTAGAGAAGTGCTTAGCAGACAATCCTAGAACTTGCTCTACTTTCTTGGGTGCCTTAGAGATTTTGATTCTCCTTTAAGTTATGGATAATGCTTAATTCAGGTGCAATTTTGCTTGCAGGAATATCCGTGAAGATCCCTTGACACAGGGTGATTATGAAAGGACGTACTTTCTCTTACTGACTGTGAGGGATTTACCCCCCTCCCTAAGAGGTGCTGTTTTGCATGTTCTTTATATATTCTGGGTTATTTGGGTGAATGTATTGTTTTGGGAGGTGGTTTGATTTGTTTTAATCATCTTTCTCATCTCTTTGAGGTCACCTGGTCCTGTGTTGCCGTGGAAGCGCGCCCATGAGCAACGCTGACAAGGACCTGGTGTTTCCAATCAGCCTCATTGGGAAAATCCATTTTCAGAGAGGGAGAGATGCATTTCTATTTTGACTGGATTCCAGATTGTTTGTTTCTAGTTTTGTTTTTAGTTGTGTTTGAGTTAATGGTAACTTGATAGACACTTTCTAGGTATAGTTTAGTGCACATGTTTGTTTGTAGCTGAAAATGACTCCACCCCTTTAATTAGTTCGGATGGGAGCCCATCCTTTAAAAACCAGGTGGTTGAGATGAGGGGGAGATTCTCCCTCTTGTTTTGACAAATGTGTTGTGCTGATCTGAATGGAACTGAACTGTAAGGTATGAAACAGAAGATAAAAGTAAAGAAAAAATATTGAGTACTCGACAACTGCTGACTCCAGTCTCTTTCCTCTTGAGTCGTATAACCAACACTGACCATGGTTGAAGAATGATTTCACTCTATTCTGTCCTCGCTAATACTTTCCCCTAAGATTGTAATAACATGAACAGTTGTTTTCTGTGCTAAAATTTATAACAGGTTTCAAAGGTTTTACACATGGATGGCCTTGGCCATTGGTAGACTCAATCATTGGTATATTTTTACTTATAAGGCTATAGTAGGACGTCTTCCTTCGTATGTGTTGACCTCCATAAATAAAAAGTCCAAAGTACGATATTCTCTATTTTTATTCTTGGTGCCTAACGTCCAATCTGAAGTTGGAAAGAAATATTTTCAGTGTTCTGCTCCGTCTTCTTGGAACCAGTTTCAGAAATACATGAACCTAAAGGGGCTGTTACTAAATGTTTTTACGGATGTTCTTACTGATTTTGAGAAGGAATCAGCCGTCGGTGAATATTTTGACCGAGGAATCTTTTAACTAATTTATTTATGATGTCAACTTTTTCTGCTTTGCTGTAAATGATCTGTAAACTCTGTGTGATCCTCCCAGTTTTGGCCAGGCTTCTCTTGCAAAAGAGATTTTTAATTTCAATGGGATTTTAAGTTTTAATAATAATGCAAAGAAGACTGTGTGATTAATTATTTTACATCAATATTCATGACCTTTTTTATTTTTTTTATCTGACCGCTCTTTGAGAAAAACTAGACCCTAATTGCCACCATAAAACCAAAACCTTCAGTGACTGTAAAGAATGAGATTCTTTACAGCCCTACAGTTGCTAAAAGTGTACAGTAAAACCTTTTAGCAATGACAGTTCATTCCTAAGAATGAACTGTCATTGATTCTTTCGATCATCTGGCCCTGGGATCTGACCTCCAGCAGGAAACGTGGACTCTCGGGCATGAACACGACTCCGATGAGTGCAGCCAGCGCCGGGAAGAGACACACAAACATAAACAGTCTCCAGCTGTGAATCTGAAACTGGGTTCCAATGGCGAAGCCCCAGCCTGACAAAAACAAAAAACAAACAAAAAAACAAAGTTACAGCAAGTTAAAATTTCATAAAGATATCAGCCCCGATTAGACAAAAACTTCTAGGATTGTTGTTCAAAAGGGAGGACAGTGTTAGCTTGTGGGGTTAGAGAGCAGCCTTGAAGGAGCCTCATAGTCGGCCATTTTGACCTGAGCAAACTTAACTGAACTTCTCCCACTGGATGAAATGAATACT